CGCGGGAGAATCCGACTGACCTGCAGCAGAGACTTGCCGGATTGCACGGCGAGGAGCTCGAACACTCCTGAGCGCGCGCTACTGGCGTCGGAAGCAAGGCGATGGCGACGGAGAGTACTAAGGCGGCGGTGGTGGGAAGCACGCTCCTGGGGAGGCGCCACGGAGGGGCCATGGAAGCTAGCTAAGGATTGCTATCGGCTACTGTTGTCTCCGAACAAAGGACACTGAGGCGGGAGACAATAATTATGGGGTTAACAAAATTCCCCGGTGCAGGTAAATGGTCGTTGAGCGTGCTCATGCCGCCTCAAGAACGGCCATTTATTGTCGCTGAAAACTAAGGGCGTGGTGCCTACGGTTCCGAACTTCATAAAGTTCGAACGGTCCGAACGGTCCGAACGGTACAGTGAGTTTGACAACGAGTTTAGCTTGTTTAGCGTGGTACAATGTGGTGGAAATTCGGACGGAGACTGTTTGAACGCTAGGCACCACGCGCTAACTTCGTTGAGTAGTCAGTCTACCCGCAGGTAAATGTTCCCATTGTTACACCCATAATTGTGCTGAGTGGGGATGTTCCCAAGGCCATAATTGTGCGGAGCGGGGATGTTTCCAAGGCACACGGCAAGAATGACAATTCTCGGAGGACTCGAGGGCATTGGGGTGGGAGAGAGGTTCGACTCGAGGGCAGCGGTTTCTCCGTTCGTTTTCTGGTTGTCGGCAGGATTGCGTTTCCGTCAGGCAAGCGTGTGGTGTGGTGTCGTCGGTCCGAGCCGCTGACACAAACCTCAAAAGCCAATGGGGCTCACACACGTGTCGAACAGAAAGACAAGGGACTGCGGCGGTCTATCAGACGAAAAGGTCCCACCGAGAATTGAACTCGGGCATTCAGATTCAGAGTCTGACATCATAACCGCTAGATCATGGGACCGGTGCATGACCATATCTGCAAATTAATTTGTTGTTTATAATACAACAGTAACTACAACACCACAACAGTACCACCTCCCCCACATTCTCATGTGGGGCAGGTTGCACATGTCTTACCTCGCCCAGCCAATTACGGGTGCGACGGGGGAAGTCGGTGTCGAACTTCCCCACCGCACTCCGCGCTCCGCCAATCCTTCCGCCTCCGCCGAGCCCCGCGAGCCCTCAGGAACCGTCTCTGACTATTTCCCCTCTCCCCGCGACCACTCGTCTCCCGCGGACGTTGTTCCGCCGCTGCCTGGTCAGCTCCACCGCCACGAGTCCGCGCCGTCCGCGCTTTTCGCCTTCCCCTGGTCTGGCCCGCGCGGGTACCTCCGCCGCGACCGCGCGGACTTGCGCTGGCAGAATCCCAGCTGGTGGGGCGCGCTGACCGCGCGCATCCGCGGAACCGCATTCGCGCGGGATCTGGCGGAAAGGGAAGGGGTGGAATTCGAGCAGGAGTTGGGAGCGGTGAAGATGGGTGAGCCGTGGGACTGGCGGAAGGAATTCGAGGAGGAAGAGATTGCGTCGCAGCAAGTCGCGGGGGGATCCGCGCTCCTGAATCTCGGATTAGGTGGACTCACTGGCGCAACCGGCGGCGGCGGAACCGGCGGGGCTAGCGGTCCCCCTGGGCCTCGGAAGACGTCGTGGAGGGATTTGGCGGAAGCCTTGGCGGAAGCGTCGCGGAATGTGCAGGAGGAGGTGCGCGAGTTCCGCAGCAGGGGGGGGGCGGCGGGGGACTTCTTCCGCGTGGGCAGCTGGCTTGCGCTCGCGGGGGCGGGCGGAGGAGAGGCGGACGAATGGGTTAAGCGCGTTGGATGCCAGGTGCGCGGAGAGAGGGAGGAGGGGTGGAAGGGGGAAGGGGCGAGGGAGTGCCCCACATGCCATGCTGTTTGCGCTAGGTGCTCAATGCTCGTCTCGTCGCCCTGAATCTCTATCCGAACCTCCAAATCCCCAGTCCCCCTCGCCCGCTCATCTCCTTTCTCCCCCATCACTCCCTTTCACCAGGCCGCGGTGGTTGCAGTGATGACGTCAGCAGGCAGCCATGGAGCTCGTCACGCGCACACTCACTGCTGCGCCGCTCAAACCCCCCCCCCTTCCCCCCCCCCCCCACCCCCCCGTTCCTTCCCCCGTCCCCTTTTCCCCCGTTCGAACCTCCGCCACTCCGTTTAAAACAGGCCGCAGTGGTTGCAGTGCTGAAAGCGGCCATGGAGCTCGTCACGCGCTCCGCCACCACCACAGCTCCCGCTTACTCCTCTGCTACAGCCGCTGCTACCTCTTCTGCTACAGCCGCTGCTACAGCCGCTGCTGCTGCTGCTACAGGCCCTCCCCCCCCTAGTAGGAGCAGCAGCTGCTGCAGCAGCAGCAGCTACAGCAGCAGCGGCGGCTGTAGCGAGGGGGACGAGGAGGATGAGGGGGAGGAGGGGGCAGGGAGGGCAGGGAGGATGCGCGGGGAAGGGGGGGAGGGCGGGGAGTGGGGGGGGTTTCGGGAGGGGGGGAGTGACGCGTCGACGTGGGTGCTGTTCAGCCTGGCGCGGCTGTGCGAGCCCCTGGAGAGCTTCCTGCGCTATGAGCTGGCGCAGTATAAGGCACAGCGCGACAGGGGGCAGATGGGGGCTCAGACAGGGGGGCCGGTGGGGGGGGAGGCGGATGGGGGCATGGACGGGTGGTTCTGGGGGAGGGCGTACCCGGGGGCGTTTGAGGCGCTGCTGACCATGCTGACTTTGCTGCACCGATACGCCATCACTGCCGCCATGTGAGTCAGCTTAGGCGCTACACCTACTATACCCCCCCGCCATGTGAGTGCGTCGGCCATCACTGTTGCCATGTGAGACTGCTTTTGAGTCGGCTCAAACATTGACCATGGCTGACCATGGCTGACCTGGCTGACCATGGCTGACCATGGCTGACCTTCTGACCATGCTGACTTTGCTCCACCGATACGCCATCACTGCCGCCATGTGAGCTTGCCCAGGCCCTATCCCCTCATTATTCAGGGCATGCGATGCCATACGCTCTCCACCACCACTGCCGCCTCATGAGTCTGCTTTTGAATGTACGCAAACACCGACCATGCCGCCATGTGAGATCGCTGCCGCCACGTGAGATCACTGCCGCCACGTGAGATCACTGCCGCCATGTGAGATCACTGCCGCCATGTGAGATCACTGCCGCCATGTGAGATCACTGCCGCCATGCGAGATCACTGCCGCCACGTGAGATCACTGCCGCCATGTGAGATCACTGCTGCCATGTGAGATCACTGCCACCATGTGAGATGACTGCCGATGACTGCCGCCATGTGAGATCGCTGCCGCCATGTGAGATCACTGCCGCCATGTGAGTGAGATTGTCTCAGAGGGCGTTTGAGGCGCTGCTGAACATGCTGACTGTGCTCCACTGGTACGCCAGCCAAATTGCAAATCAAATCAAATCAAATCCATCCATCCTCCAATCTCAAATTGCAATTGCAGTCTGGAGCTTCAGCCCCTATAGTCGCTCCCAATATTCTCTCCCTCTCTTCCTCCCCCCCCTCCCCTGCCTCAATCCGCCAAATCCCTGCCTTCTCCCCTTCCTCCTGACCCTTCGCTCCCCCCCCCCAACCAGCCAAGACGTGCAGCTCTCAGCCAAGGCCTCTGGGCTGGACGACGGGCTACCGCACCCCACCCATGCCAGCACCGCTCTGCACTGCACTGCTGCTGCAAGCCTGGCAGCCCCCCGGTTGGCAGACTCTGACATGGCACTGTTCCTGCTGCTGTTCCAGATCGTTGGAGCAGTCAGATCCTTTGCCCCTCCAGAGACTGTTGGCTGTGCTGCATTCTCCGTGCTTTTAGAGGACCAGGTAACGAAATGTATAGTTACCAGGTTGTGAATGTGGTAACCAGGTAATGGTGGCACGACACTGTTCATGCTGCTGTTCCAGATCATTGGGGCTGTCAGTCGGATCGTTTGCCCCTCCGGAGACCGTTGGCTGTGCTGCATTATCCATGCTGCTGGAGGACGAGGTAGGGGGAAGTGGTAACCAGGTAACAGCGACCTGGCACTGTTCCTGTTGCTCTTTCAGACTTCTTTCAACCTCCGGAGGTTGTTGGCTGCGCTGCATTCTCTGTGCTGCTGGAGGACCAGGTGAGAGCTGGTTGGGGGAGCAGGTGATGCAATGTGGTAACCAGGTAACAGCAGCATAGCACTGTTCCTGCTGCTGTTTCAGATCATTGGTGCAGTGTGGTTCTTTGCTCCACAGGAATCTGTTGGTTGCGCCACATTCTCTGTGCTGTGCTGCTGGCTGGAGGAGCAGGTGAGGGGCGGAGGAGCAGGTGAGGGGCGCACTTCAAGTCCGTCCTACCCTTCCTTCCCCTTCCCCCCTTCCTCCTACACCCTCTCCCACAGCTGCGCCTTCTCTTTGACCACCTATTGCAGGCAGCAGGCATTGATGACGTGTACCGCCATGCTGTGAGGGCAGGGCTTCGTGCCGAGTTCCTCTCGCACTTCAAGTCCGGCCCACCCTTTTCCTCCATCCCCCCCCCTTTCTCCCCCCCCTCCTGAACCACCAGCTGCGCCATCTCTTCGACCATCTCTTAAGAGCAGCAGACATCGATGACGTGTACCGCCACGCCGTGCGGGCTGGGCTGCGCGCCGAGTTCCTCTCGCACTTCGGGCAGCGCGCTGGCGGGCACCTGAACGTTCGCGTGCTGCCCGGCGAGCGCCGGTTCTGGGTGCAACTGGTGGAGCGGCAGCTCCGGGCAGCTTTGGTGCGGGAGAAAGTTTTCAAGGACTGGGGGGGGATGGAGGGGGAGGGGGAGGGGGGAGGAGAGGGGGAGAGGGTGAAGGCTGAGCTGGCAGTGTTTGGATTCTTTGTGGCTCTTGGGCGGGCGACAAGGCATTTCCTCCAATCAGAAGGTGCCAGCGAGGCGGATGAGGGGCTGGCGACTCTGCTGACGTGGGTGATGGGAGATAAGATGGCATGGGGATAGTATGAGGCATGGGTGATGGCATGGTGATAGTATGAGGCATGGGTGATGGCATGGGGATAGTATGAGGCATGGGTGATGGCATGGGGATAGTATGAGGCATGGGTGATGGCATGGTGATAGTATGAGGCATGGGTGATGGCATGGTGATAGTATGAGGCATGGGTGATGGCATGGTGATAGTTTGAGGCATGGGTGATGGCATGGTGATAGTATGAGGCATGGGTGATGGCATGGGGATAGTATGAGGCATGGGTGATGGCATGGTGATAGTATGAGGCATGGGTGATGGCATGGTGATAGTATGAGGCATGGGTGATGGCATGGTGATTGTACGAGGCATGAGGTGCTGCTGCCTGTCAATCGCTCTCTTTCTCTCTCCTGCCACCCATTCCCTCGCTCTCTCCCTCCCTCCCCCCTCCCCTCCCCAGTCATTTCGAGGGCGCTATCATCTTCACCTTCCCCCAGCTCGACAACATTTCCAAGTACCAAGGCCTGGTGGAGGTAAGCAGCAGGCAAGGCCTTGTGGAGGTAAGCAGCAGGCAAGGCCTTGTGGAGGTAAGCTCCCTCCCTGCTTTCACCTCCCTCCCTGCTTTCACCCTCTCCGTCCCTCCTGCCCTCTCAGGTATTAAGGGAGGAGCTCGCCTGGCTGCCTCTGCTCCCCCCGCTCTCCACCAAACGCCACGCCGACCTCGACCCCTCCTCCCTCTCCCCGCGCTCAGCGCAGCGGCAGCGGCACAGGCAGAGGCGGAGGAGGAGGCGGGCGGTGCTGGTGGGGAAGGAGGTGTGTGGGATGTGGGCAAGGGAGTGGGAGAGACACTCGTGCTGGCTGCTGCAGCAGCCTGACTCGAGGGCTGCTGCTTTCATGGCGCAGGGGTGAGTGGGTGGGGGTGATTGGGTGATGCAGACTGATGGGGTGAGGAGGTGTGTAGGGCGTGTTGGCCCGGGAGCTCTTCAAATCTGTGTGGCTCTAATCTAAAGAGCTCCTTCATTATCATGGTCTTCACCATGGGCGTGTTGGCCTGGCAGCTCTTCCCTCCCTCCCTCTCTTCCCCCCCTCACCACCTGCGTCCCAACCGGAATAACGCCAATGAAGTTGTTCGCTGAAACGCCCACACACGCCCCTCTCTCCGATCCCTCCCTCCCCCCTCCTCTCCACTTCCCCCCTCCTCTACACTCCCCCCCTCCTCTCCACTTCCCCCCTCCATCTCCCTTCCGTCTTCCACCCCCTCTCCTCTCCCCCCCCCGTCCTTCTCCATCCCCCAGCATGGTGCTGCTGGCGCGGTGCCTGGAGCCTTCAACGAAGCACCACATAGATGCAGAGTGAGTGATGATGGGCGGGAGGGGGGTTCATGGGGCGAGGTCAAAGAGCGGATGAGCGGGTATTGATGGCGCGGTGCCTGGAGCCTTCAACGAAGCACCACCTGGATGCAGGGTGGGTGGCGCTGTTAAAGCCCGACCGGCAGGTTGCAAGTCATATTTTCTCAAGATGCTGCACCTTGAGGCCCTCGTAACCAAGCAGCTGGCATCAAACTGCCAAATGCTCGCAAAGGATTTCCAACCAGGCAGGGCTGGGGGCCTCTCGGAACTTGGCAGTGCAAACCTGCCAAGTTCTTCGAGGGAAAAAAAAGGGACGGGTTGGGTGGGGGGTAGAAACCTGAATATGTACTTCGCAGTTTGGGCGGGAATCGCGAAACAAAAAGGTGATTCGTATTTTTGGGGTCGCACTATACCGAGCTGTATATGCGTCAAACAACATTCGGTTTGTTTTTCCGAAACCGGTCAGGTCAAAGGGTTGGTTGTGATCGAAACAGTCAGGAGTTCTCTCCCTGCAAACTTGGCAGAGCTGGCGAGGTGGCTCTCTGCCAGATTGTGAGCTGCAAAACTGGCAGCCCTGCCAAGTTTCCAGCCCCGCTAGCTTGCACGAAACGAACGCTGGCTGTGAGAAGCCTAGTACTCGCCAGCTATATCGTTTGAAGAATCCTTCGTTATCCAATCAGGTTCTGCCGTCCCACCCACCTAAACAGTACAAATATGCAACCTGCTGGGCGGGCTTTAATAGGAGGTGAATGCAGGAGGGGGGGGATGTAGGGGGGGTGCGAGCGAGTGGAACTGTCATAGATAGCAAGTAACAGGGCATGGCATGGCATGGTATGGTATGGCATGGCATGGGATGGTATGGCATGGTATGGTATGGTGTGGTGTGGTATGGTATGGTATGGTATGGTATGGTGCTGTTGGCACTGTGCATGCTGCCTGCCTGTGCCTGCTGCTGCTCTGCTTGGAGAGCAGTGCCAGCCAGCCCCCCCAACCTCCCTTTCTTCCTGCCCATCGCAGGGTGCCAGGCGTGCTGGTCTCCTCTTCCGACTCCGACTCTTCCAACGAGGGCGGAAGGCGTTTGGAAGGGTCGAGAGCGGTGGAGATGGGCGAGATGGAGGAGGTGGAGAGGGAGGCGAGGGAGAGGGAGGAGTCGAGGAGGCGGCTGCAGAAGGAGCTGAGGGGACTTAAAGCCATGGAGAGAGAAGTGAAGGCGCTGGACCAGGTGAGGTGGTGTGGTGGATGCATGTGGGTTGTGCGAATGCACTGGTAGAGGAGTCGAGGAGACGGCTGCAGAAGGAGCTGAGGGGAATTAAAGCCATGGAGAGAGAGGTCAAGGTGCTGGACACATCAAACTCATCACTCCCATGCACACCGTCTCTGAGTTCGCCGGTGGCTTGCTGCCCTCTCTTGGCTGCTAGCCAAGGGATCTCACTATCCTTCCCTCTCTCTCTCCCGCTCTTCCTCCCTCCCCTTTGCTGCTTGCTGCTTTCTCCCCATCAGGACCTCTTTTTGAGGCGCCTCAAAAATAGACCCCATCAGGACCTCTTTTTGAGGCGCCTAAAAAATAGACCCCATCAGGACCTCTTATCCGTGGATGAGATCGGGCAAAGAGGCTGATGCAAGTGGCGCATCACTCTCTCTTTCCCACCACTTGTCTCTCTCCCCCTCTTGCTTGCTTCCCCTCTTTTTCGCTCGCTGCTGTCTTCCCATCAAGACCACCAATAAGGGGTCAAAGATTAATGCGAGTGGTGCGCTCCCCTCCCCTTTGACCTCTTATTGGTGGATGAGATCGTGGAAAGATTAATGCGAGTGGTGGATCACTCTCTCTCTCTCTTACTCCTGCTCTTCCTCCCCTTTGGTCGCTGCATTGTTTCCACCAGGATCTCTTATCTGTGGATGAGATCGTGGAAAGACTGATGCGAGTGGTAGAGGCAGAGAGTGCAGGGCTTAGGGGGGAGGCTCACACTCACTCCCTTGCTCACTCACACTCACACACTCGTGCGCACTCACACTCGGCTGCTGGGAAGGCAGCCACGCTTACGGCAGGTGCAGAGAACACAGCAACAGCAAGGGAAGGGACAGGGGAAGGAGGAGCGGAGGGGGGTCAGGGAGAGAGTGCAGAGGGCGAGAGCGAAGGCGGAACGGGAGGGGGAGGAGGTGAAAGGGAAGGGGGTGGGACCAAGGGGGAAGGAGAGAGGAGGATAGGGGGAAAGGGAGAGGAGGACAGGGGGAAAGGGAGAGGAGGACAGGGGAGAAGGCATGTGTCACATGCAGCAGCGGGAGGGGCTGCTAGTGAGCAGAGAGCAGCAGGGGGGGCGGGGGGCAGTGAGCGGCTGGCGTTGGTGCGGCTGGAGTGGGAGCGGCTGGTGCGACTCAGGGAGGAGATCCGGGCGCTGGAGCGACGGCTGAAGATGAAAGCAGCTGTTCAGGAGGAGAGGGTGCGAAAACAGCAGGTGAGAGAAGTTAGGGTGAAGCACGTCAGAAGGGAGAGGGCGCAAGCAAAGACAGCAGGTGAGAAGGGCGAGGGGGGACGAAAGGTGAGAGAGGAGGTGGTTGGAGTGGGAGCGACTGGTGCGGCTTCAGGGGGAGATACTGGCGCTTGAGCGACGGTTGAAGATGAAAGCTGCTGTTTAAGAGGAGAGGGTGCGACGGCAACAGGTGAGAAGGGCGGGGTATGTGTTGGGCATAGGATGCAGCAAATGTCTCATGGAACATTAGGTGTCTATCTCTCCTCTATCGTCGTCTATAATAAGTGACTCCGTTCTGTCTGCGTTTCGTCTCTCTCGCCTCACCCACACCTGTGCGGGTCCCTCTCTGCTTCAAGCCTGTGGCCCAGGAGGAGGTGGGCGAGAAGGTGAGCCGGCAGAGGCGGCAGGCACATGCGTGTGCCCTCTTTCTCTTTCGCACGCCTCTCCCCTCCCACGCTTGTGCTGGTGTGTCTCTCACTACCCTCCTCTCCCTGTGGTCAGGAGGAGGTGGGCGAGAAGGTGAGCCGGCAGAGGAGGCAGGAAGCAGCAAGGGAGATGGAGGAGAGGATGCTGCAGCAGCAGCTCAGGCACCCGAGGAGCCACAGCATGAGGTACGCGTTATTGAAATGAACAGCTTGTTTCATCGAACAGCAGCAGCAACAGCAGCAGCAGCAAGGGAGATGGAGGAGAGGATGGCGCAGCAGCGGCAGCAGCACAGGCACCCGAGGAGCCACAGCATGAGGTATGTGCTGTCGGCTGGTTAGCATGAGGTATGTGCTGTCGGCTGGTTCGCGCTGTTTGGCCTTGCTCTGTGGACACAGCGAGGCGCAGCGAGGCGCCTCTTGTTTGGCCTTGTGTGTCCCTACTGTCTGTGCCCTTCTCAAGGCCAAACAAGAGGCGCCTCGCTGCGTCGTGCGGTTCTACTCTTGGCGGTTCTACTTGCCAGTAGGCACTGTCTTGCCCCCCCTCTGTATGTCATCCTCTTCTCTACTCTCGCACCCTACTTGTGACTGCCCTCAATCTCCAGGGTAATCGTTTCCAATCCCACTTTCCTATACCGTGTTATCACCTCTCACCGTCCTCCTCCCCGTTCTCTCTTGTCCTTCAACTCACCCCCCTTCGCCTCTCAATCACCCCACCTGCACCTCCCTCTCCCCCCTCTTTCCCTTCCTCGCAGCTTCCTCGGAACCCTTCAAGACATCTTCACCTTCTCCTCTCCGTCCTCCAACGCTCCCGACTCCACCACCAATGCCACCGACGCCAACAACAGCACCACCGATACTTCTGCTGCTAGTGCTTATAACGAGCCTCCCTCTCCCCGCTACTCCTCCCTCCACAAGAGCCAATCGTCTCACGACACGTCAGCACTCGCTGACTCTCCCTTCCCCTCATACCTCACCTCGGCTTTCCTCTCTACAAACTCTCCCGCTCCTGTCGCCGCTGCTGCCCCTGTAGCCGCCCCTGCTGCCCGCTCCGGCCGCAGTTTTTTCTTCCAGCTGCCCGGGCGGGCTGCCCGAGAAGACTCGTCTCTTCTCTCTGGGACCGAGGGGGAGGAGGCGGATGGGGAAGAGGAGAGGGAGGGTGAGAGATCTGGAAATGTGCTTAAAGCGAGGGTAGGCTTTGACACTAGCACAAGCAGGGGAGGGAACACAGGGGTAAGTAGTGTTGGGAGGGTAAGGGGAAGGGTGGAGCAGATGCAGAGAGATGTGAGTGCTACAGGAGAAGAGGGTAGTGCCAATGGGTTGGGAAGGGGAAAGGAAGCAAGGCGAGCAGGAGGAGGCGTGCAGGCAAGGGGGGTGGAATATAGCGATGATGACTTCTCTCCCTTCCAATCATGCACGCCCACGTCAGCACAAGCAGCGGCTCCCACTGCTGCTGGTAGTAGCACCAGGGTTGGGGACGGGGCTGCTGAAAGGGCTGCAGAGGCACAGGCCCAAGGGCAGGCACAGGGGAAGGCGCAGGAGCAGAGGGTAGGGGGGCAGGGCAGCCAGCCAGATGGCAACAGCTCGTGGGCGTTCAGGGAGGAATTCTTCGACCGGCAGGGATTGCCGGACCTAGCAGAGGCAGAGGCAGGGGATGGGAGGTTCGGGCCGGCGCGCATGGGAGGTCTTGGGGCGGAGGCAGCTCGGCTGCAGCAGCTGAAGGGGGAGCTGAGGGAACTGGAAGCGAGGCTGCTGGAGAGAGGAACAGGCGGGGTGGGGATGGTGGGTGCTGCTGCTGCTGCTGCTGCTGCTGCTGCTGCTGGTGCTAGTGGTGCTGGTGCTGGTGCTGGTGCTAGTGGTGCTGGTGCTGGTGCTGGTGCTAGTGGTGCTGCTACTGCTGCGTCACCAGCCTCGCCCGAGCTTGGGCCTCGGACCCCCTCCCCCACGCGCCCTCCCAAGCCAGCTTCCATCTTCGACCGTCTCTTTGATACCTCCTCCTGGGCCCTCCCCTCCGCTGCCTCCTCCTCCTCCTCTGCTGCCGCTGCTGCTGCTGCTGATACAGCCTCTGGGGCTGCTTCTGCTGCTGCTGCTGTTGCTAGTACCGCAGGTGGTGCCTCTGCTGGTGCGGTTGGTGCTGCTGGTGGTGAGGTGTTGAGCGTGGGAGGGGGGAGAGGGCCAGCGGACGGCAGCAGCAGCGGGGGGTTGGAGGAGTGGGAGGGGAGCGATGTGACGAGCCGTGCAGGCGAGGGGGAGAGGCAAGAGAAGAGTGGGATCGAGCAATCGCTGGAGCACATCCGCGAAGGGGGCGCGGTGAGTATGAAGGGGAAAGCGAGGGAGGGGAAAAGGCAGGGAAGGGGGGGAGGTTGAGGGGGAGAGGGGTCATAAGGGGTCGAGGCAGGAGACGAGTGTCATTGACCAATTGCTGGAGGACGTTTGCTGGGGGGCGGTGAGTATTGGGGAGGCTACTGAGCGCAGACCTGGTATCCGTTGCACAATGAAGACGCCCACATGCATGTGCTTGTATTCCCCTGCATCCCCCACCTCAGGACGCGTGGCGGGGCACGCAGCTACTCAGCACGGACGTGGCAACGGCTATGAAGATGCTGCAGCGGGCAGCGCTCGGGCAGCCGCTGACTGACCGGGAGGCGAAAGTTTTGAAGCGGACGCTGACTGATGTGGCGTCTGTGATTCCCATTGGCATCCTCATGCTCATCCCGGTACGCTTCTTCTCTCCTTCACCTCCTTTGGCGTCTCTCCTTTCCCATCCTGGTGCTGTTTTACTCTCTGCTCTTTGATGGTTCTTTTAGGATTCTCAGAAGACTCCTCCTGGTGCTGTTTTACTCTCTGCTCTGTGATGGTTCTTTTATAATTCTCAAAAGACTCCTCCTGGCGCTATTTTACTCTCTGCTCTGTGATGGTTCTTTTAGGATTCTCAAAAGACTCCTCCTGGTGCTCTTTTACTCTCTGTTCAGCAACCAGTGGTCTTTCTTCCTGTCAAGCCCATTACCCAGTATTCATTTGCTCATTATCTGCACTGCGTAAATTCTGTTTATCTCCCTTTCTTGACTGTAAAATCCCCATCTTTCACCTCCCTTCATCCTTCCTCATTCTCCCGTCCACCCATCTCCTCTCCCTCTTCCCCGTCGCCCTCCCACCTCCCCCAGATGACGCCTGTGGGACATGCAGCAGTTTTGGCAGCTATCCAGAGATACGCCCCCCACCTCGTGAGTCCCCATCCCATCCCTTCTGCATTCCCCCTTTTCCCTTCTCCCACCCCTTCTCCCACCCCTTCTCCCACCCCTTCTCCCACCCCTTCTCCCACCCCTTCTCCCACCCCTTCTCCCACCCCTTCTCCCACCCCTTCTCCCTCGCCATGTACTGACTCCCTGACATCACCCGCTCCAGTCTCCACTGCATCCCATGCAATTCAGTTGTATTTTGAGTCGAATCAAAATATATTGTGTCGACTCAAAATATATTGAGTCGACTCAAAATACAACTCCCATGCAATTCCCCGTCCAACCAGTCATCTCCCCTCCATCCTGCCTCCCTCTCCCTCTCTCCCACCCCAATATCAGCTCCCCAGCTCCCTCTCCCTCGCAACTCAGAACCGCTGCCTCGCAATGCATTTGGTTTTACCATCATGGTTAACCCTCTCTCCCCCCCCAATATCAGTTCCCCAGCTCCTACAATGAGGATCGACTCGATGCCGCCCGCCGCCTGGAGCAGGTAACGCCTGGGGCAGGTAAATCCTGGGGCAGGTAACGCGTGAATCCTCTCTGTTCCTCTGGTTTGCTCCACCACTGCCCTTTGGCAGCAGCAGCCAGTGATTACACCGCCACATTTCAACCTGATCCCTCCATTGTTCTGCCTGCCTCCGCTCCATTCATCTGCGCTTTCTACCTCCTCTCCATCCCCCACTATGCCTCGCCTCTACTCAGGTGCGCTCCTTTGCTACGCTTCGCAACGCAGCAGCAGCCGCAGCAGCCACTGCCACCGCCTCCTCCTCTCCATCCCCACTCAGTGCAGCGACACCTGGCAGCACCGGATTGGCTGGGATGATATCTGCTGCTGTTGCTGCTGGCACCGGTGTAGCTGGCACTGCGAGTAGGCCGTCGCACACCTTTCCTCCACTTTCTTCTGCCGCTGCTGCTGCAATTTTGGCCCGAGCAGCGCAGAACGAAACTATAGTTCGAGTGCCGAAACAACCTAAGGAAGTGGAGTCACCACCCAGCACACCAGCCAACGAGGAAGAGCTCAATGAAGGGGAAGAGGGACAAGCTATGAAGGTGATGAAAAAGAACATTGACACAGAGGCACAAGGTTATAATCAACAGCCCAATTGAGTGATTCCGGTTTTCATTTTGTAGAAGCAGTTCATTGACCAAATTGGGAAGGCTCATTTGGTGGCAATGCATCTGAACTTTATAAGCTCAACCATTTTGAGTGCTTGTGCTATAATCCTATGCGTATCCTGTGTTACTCAACAGTCGGTGCATACCGATATTTGTCTCGCGTTTGGAAAATATCGCGAAGCACGTGGAAAGTACCATCGTCGAAGGGCTACCCCAGAGATGCCCAGGGTTTCCGATCAAGATGTTGAAGCCAATTGGCCGAACAAGGCTTCCACGGAGGACGAGCAGTGTGCCATGCCATGCCATGGGGAATGGCATGCTGCCTGCCAGTGAGAGACAGGTTAAACCCTACGCCACACGTTCAGCCCCCCGCCAGCTGTCGCCCTGGTTTATTTTGGCAGCGTTTTCTTGAATTCAACATCCATAAAACGGTCCAATTACACCAATTGTACAAAGAACGGACGGTACAAGGATCCCTCTTGGTTACCACACACGCGTCACTGAAGGTAGACAGATGACATATGTTGGGCTGGGGGAAAATAGGTGTCTGGTGGTGGTTGTGCTTTGGGATGGATGAGTGATGGGGCTAGGCTTTTTATTCCAGGGTGCTCAGAGAATACAGTAGGTAGAGTTTCTGAACTGCTGCGGGAGGCGTGGCGTGCCATATCCAGAGACTCTTCAGCAGTCGATATCTTAACAACGTGGCTTTGTTGGACACTTACCCACTGTTTTGGCTCCATAATGATTTTTCCGCATAAGACACGAGGCTCCACCTCTCAGAAACGACATACAGTACTCTGGCATCTACAGAATCTGTAGGACCTTTTATTGTTTTTATCCTAAACAAGAGAAGCTGCCGCACAGCGAGATCCACTCTCAATGCCCGCTGCAGAAAATATTGTTGTTTTCCTAACCAGAATTCGGGGCAGCTAACAGTGTGTGGAGGTTGAAGGCATGAATGGGGCATTCATTCATGTGGGTAGGGTGTTTTGGGTACAGTAGTTTGGTTGAGAGAGGGAAAAATCAATCGATTGTATCGAGACAGATCCTCCTGACTCCTGAGCAGGGCCTATTTTTCAAGGGTTGTTGCCCTGAATTTGAGTCAAATAAAGAGCAGTTTTTCAGCTGGCCCCACAAATTAAGGGTTGGATTTGAATAAGCCCAGGAGATTAAGGGTTGATGCAGAGTGTAACCCTTAAGATTAAGGGTATATTTGTTTCCTATCCTGAGTGTACTACGAGTGCTGATAGGGCTACAGGGGGGATCTCCTTAAGAGGAACAAGTCCCTTAGAAGATTTCGACCTTTCCCCTCACAGCACGTTACTCACACTCCGTAGTCACCAACAGAGGGGAGACAACTCCCTTAGTAGATTTTCGTTCTTCTCCCCTCACAGCACGTTACTCACACCTCGTTGTCACAAATAGAGGGGAGACAACTCACTTAGTGGATTTTCGTCATTCTCGCCTCACAGCCCGCAGTGAAAAGGGTACTGTGAAAACGAACCCTGATGATTGAGGGTTTCCTTTCGCTGGACCCTGAAAATTAAGGGTAGACTTTCAAGAAGCCCGATTTTTTAAGGATGACCAAAAACCAAAAGTAAGCCCTGCTCCTGAGCCCATGATATTTCTCAGCCTCATCCGTCCACTTTTCCGTTGAGTGCGGCCAAGTCTCCCCGTCTCCCCGGAACTGTACAAGTACTGTACATTACATCATTACTGTACTTGTACAGCCCCCATTTCCCCGAATACACCTCATCTTGCTTTGGGTAGCGAATGTTACAGGATCCGTACGAATTTCACGAAAATACAAATATATCATGCCAACATCTTCTGCCTATGTCGCATGGATTAGTAGAACCTTCGAGGCGCGTCATGAGGGAATCATGATGGAATATTGGCCCGACTGTAGTAATTTAGCGATGCACCAATCAGAGACGACCCAAGGTTTGCACTCAGATCCCCCGGAGTGGCAGTGCCTGGTTTCAATTACAGTATGTGCTGTTCTGCATTTCATTTTGCAAATAGGCTGTAACAATGGCTTCAGAGTGACATGAGCTTGTTAGTTATTGACGTGGATTCGCCACAGGTTCTGTGATTCCATCTAGCAAGCAGCCTCGTTATAGTCGGTTTTGCCCCCCAGGTTTTGACCTTTTTAGAAATTGGAGCGCGCCGCGTGATAGATTCAGGTTCTCCAAAGCCAGATGAGGTGTACTGTATTTCTTCCTTCGTTCTACTACAGGTGTTATTCTCCTCTGTGCCTTGTCCATCACACAGAAGACCTCAATCTTGCTTGTTCGCTTCACTCCAGCAATTTTCCTTCACATACTTGATTTCATTCTTCAATTGCGATAATGCTGGCATCAAGACCAAGTACTTCCTTATCCACCACACCTCACACCACATACTGCCTTTCCGTTCCGCGCCCGTGTTCGTCCCTTAAAACACCCTCACGAAGATCTATCGATGGTGCATTTGCGCGTCTGACGCTCGAAGACCCTGAAACGGTCGCGACAATGCAGCCGCCATGCGCTGCGGGAGGCCTCTCGTCTCCCAGCGCCTTCTCGGCCCTTCAGCGCGGCGCGAATGGCGTTGGTCGGGTGGGAGGTGTTCCTTCCTCGAGTCTCGCGCAAAAGGACAGCCCGCAAGCTGCGCGCTCGATTACGCGCCACAGGCGGTCTGTCTCGATGTCGTGCCTCTCCTTTCCTTCCGCCGCATTCACCGCTCCCCTCGCCGCGGCTTCGCCCATTCACTCCCCGGGGAGTAATTCTCCGTTTCATATGGCGCTACTCCAGGTTTCTTCGCCGCGCGCCCGCTCCGCCCTCTGCGCATCGGCGACGTCTTATCGCGCACCGTATGAGATAGGCGCCGCGGGATTTCGACCCGACTTCGCCCGGGCCGACATCAGCTCCGTCGCCGTCGTCGCACCTGGGGAGGCTGGCGAATTCTGTGCGACGCTCCACCCAGCTGCGCACTCCGCTCATCGCCGTCATCGTCGCACGCCGTCGGATTCAAGCCTCCTGATCGCTTCATTTCGCTCGAGCGCCCTCCAGTCTCGCATTGTCGCTGAATCTGAAGCGCAGTCGGTGCTGACCACGTTGACCGAGTCAATGTGGCTAAACGGCTCGACCGAGTCAAACACGTTGACCGAGCCAACGCCGGTTGCGAGGTCGACTGAAACGACAGCGGAGCAGCAAAGCGGCTCCTCGGAGCACCTCGCCTCCGTGACGACGCAAGTCGACGCCGAAAACCGCCCCCCGCCGAAGCCTCAATCAATTCCGACGCCGGCGCCGCGATTTGAGGAGTGCGAAATCCCAAGTCATGTAACTGCACAGCCATTGCTCGCACAGCTCCCGCCCCCGCCGCCTCCGCAATCGTCTACTGAAGCGCAAGTTTTCACGTGCCCATTCCCGCCGCCACATCTGGTAGAGCGCGGAAGTCTTGCGCGGGCGACGGATCAACCCACTGGCGCAGCAGACCGTGCAGTGTGGGGACCATCGTATGACGTCCCGCGTGTTTTCCTGCCCGCGACACACAGCCGCAGCAGCAGCGGAGAGAGTAGTGAGTGGGGGGAAGCGGGCGGGGAGGATCTGGCGGAGCAATACGAGCTCATGCGCGCATCCTCGTTTTCCGCCGGCGATGCGCTAGCGGGCGCGCGGGCTTCTGCTGAGCTGGCATGCGATCCGAAATGGATGGACGCGGCACGGTGTAGAATCAGCGAAGCTGCCTTGCGAGTGGTGGAGACACAGCAAGTGTTGATGGCTTTAGACGGGGATACGCGATATAGCAGCCGCGATAACACTACGGTCCGTTCGAGTTTCTCGTACAATCATTTGAACACCCCGCCAACTACACCCTACGGTGGTGGTTCACGAATGTCGCTGGATTCAGGAGCAATGAGCGGCCCAACATTTAGCTGGAGTCATCGCTGGTTCGCATCGAAACAAGCGACAACCCCATCATCTTCGTCTTACATCTCAACCGTTGAATGGAACGATATCGACGCTCACAATGACAGTGGTTTCCCTTACCGATTCACCGCTCCCCCTGGAGCACTGTCAACGCGTGTTCCGCTGGAAAAGGGTGACAACAACGAGTTGAGCAACTCTCTGGAGCGGCGTGAATTCGGCTACAAGCACAGGTCGTACCAGGAACGAACGGTAGTGGTTCAGGCGCAACCTTCCCCCAGCGCCATGCGCCGAAACCTGTCCTTCCGCCAATTGTCTTCCGCGTGGCCCTGGAAAGACACGTCTGCCTCATCCACGCCGCGAGCCAGCAACAGTATCGGATTTGGGACCCCCCATTGCACTACACCCAGTAAAGCAGTAACTCCTACCGGTAAACGGTATTTTCCTAAAATGAGAGGATCCAAATCTGTGGCTAACTTCGCTTCGATGAGTGACAGCTTAGGTGTAACTAACAGCTGCAGCAGCCCCTGCAGCAGCATCAGCAGCCCTGCACCCAGCAGCACCAGCAGCAGCCGCATCTTCAGCAAATTCAGCCCCAGCAGCAGCAGGAGGGAGGTGAAGGATAGTGACAGCATGGACAGGAGCCAAGGGGGCGGAAGCAAGGCGATGGCGGATCACGTGCACGCACCCGTGCCAAAGCCGTCTCTTCGGCGCACCCTGAGCAGTGCTAAGGAGAGGCTGCAGCTGCTAGGGAGTAGCAGCAAGGTCAGGTGATGCAACCAGGACTCAGGCAGGATGAGTGGAGGAGGGGGGTTTGGTGGTAGCATTTACGGGATGGATGTCCCCCATTGGAGGTTCCTGGCTGAAATTGTGAATTGAATTGTGTGCGGCAATTGGTTGGGGCACGTTCCGCGCTTGGGGCAAGCCTGGAGGCAGGACTTTGGGGCATCAGTTATACTGGAGAGATCGCCCAAGCCAGCACTTCAAATGATCCAGTCCGTAGAACTCATGCCGCAAAGTTATGCCTCGAGACTTGAAAGCTGCTTTTGCGCTTTCTTTTCTCCGGGTCTTCTTCTGTGTGCTGACTCCTGACTCCATTACCCCCAATGCCAACACAGGCAGCGTGTGCGCTGAGGTGAAAGAAACATACGGTACAGCTCTGCCCCTTGCTCAACTCATGCCACTTTTACCATACCATAATACGATTCATGAGAAGCAGTAGCCATGACATGATAACAAAGCAACTGAGGTGCAAATTGCAATGCACATCCCAGGCAGGGCTCCATGCAGACAAGACATGAACTATTCTAGCCTCTCATTACCAGCGAGGAGCCCACTCTTGCCCCACAAGAGAGGTTCCTCCAGCTTGCATGAGAAAGTGCCAGCAGGTCCGCTCAGCACATGAATAATAGGTATACAATACATGAGTACTACAGTATGTCTGTTAGAAGGTTGCACGTGCAGTGCGCACTTGGTGTGTATGTTGAGGTAAGCTTGACATGTCACGTCACTGCCTGCACGGAGACAAAACATACCGTATGTGGCACTTGTCCTGAGTGCAATGCGTGAGGCACTGGACATAGTTGTTTTCAGCAGCTAGGAATTGAGCTCTCTCATTCACGTCGCTAGACATGCATGCAGCAGACCCAACAACAGACAGACAGACGCGAACAGAGACGAACAGACAGACTCGAACACAGAAAAGATACGGACAGACAGACACGAAGTGACACACAAACACAGTCAGACAGAGACACAAAGCGAACCTTGTTGTCAATCGTGTGCGGTAATCGAGTCCGCGCCCAGGCCAAGCAGAAACGAGGACACCTCCTGCTGCATCCACGTGTTGTCGGCTCTCGATAGATGGCCGCCAAACTCAAGCTGCTTCCCGTCAGCAGCTGATACCCGGCAGAAGTACATTGTACTGAACCGCCTCTCCTGGAGGGGGGAGGGGAGGAATGCCTGTTGATGAGATCCAATCTAATGTGATTGTCTCATGCCACCTCTATTATTCCCGTCAGCAGCTGATACCCCGCAGAAGTACATTGTACTGAACCGCCTCTCCTGGAGCGGGGAGAGGGGGATGCCTGGCGGTGAAATAGAATCCTTTGTGATCAACCCATGCCAACTCCACTTGCATTGCTGCCAGCATCAGAACCATTCAGACTACGAGCATCATGCACAAGACCTTCCAGCGACCCCTATCGGACTTACCGCTGACCCCAATTCTGCAGTTTGACCGTTCCACTAAACACTCGTACAGAAAAGTTACTTATTGCCGTGGGAGCGTGTCTTTCCCAGGAAAGCTGACCATTTTGCAGAGTGATACACGGATGATGGAGGCGGTGGGGATGGTTGTGTCCGCACTCCACCCGAACAGCTGCCATGTGTGCAGCAGCTGGCAGCCGTCGATTCGAATCGTGCGCACCATGAACGCTGAACACACACTAAGAGCTGCCATCCTGAGATGGGTGGGGGTGGTTGGTGGGTGGGGAAAGAGGGAGGGAAGGGGGGGAGTGGTGGAAGGGAGCAGGGAGGAAAAAGTGGTTGTTGGGTGATGAAGCAAATGGATTGTGCAGCGAGTATGAAAAGATTGGGACATGTGGGTGAGCCCAGGTAATGGACACCTTTTCCGTGATTTGGTGGGGGTGCCATTGGCCGGACAACCGACATCATAAGACACGGCAAAAAGACCAGCGCAGTGGCATGGGAGCAAATCAGATGCATAGAGGCGGTTATTTCTGGTGCTATGAGAAAGCTACACATGATTATATACATGCACAGCCCACCATGACACGTGCGACACAGCGCATGTGCACAAGGGCCCCCACGGCACATGCCTCAGACCCCTCACATCCCTCACAGCAAGCCCCAGCACCTTCCCATACAGCACACCCCCCATGCCATACACATGGCCTCACCCTCCCCCCCCCCCCTCCCCCCCCTCTCCCCTCCCCCCCCAACCCACCCCCCCCCCCCCTCCCATGGAGCACGCAAAGCCTCACAGCGAGCACAAGGCAGAGACAACAGGCATGAAGGGAGGCATGGGGTCCCCCTCCTGGGTGGCGCCATCAGGCACCATCAGCGGCAGCAGCAGTGGCAGCAGCGCCAGGACAGAGAAAAACTGCGCAGGGAGTATGAGCAGAGGGAGAGCATGTGGGACGGAATATGGCATGCCATGCTGCCAGCGAGGAAAGTTGTTTGGTGTTTCTCCTCCGTTCCATCCATCCACCCGTGCTTGATTCCTTACCCTCCCTGACTTCCAGACCCTATTGTACCGAGCCGTATCATGCTCACACCCACTACCCCATGGCCCATTCCTGCTCACACCCACCATCCCACGAGACTCCCGGATTACCACTCAGCTCACCGCAAAGCCGAGCGTTGCTTTGGCCCAGTGGAGCGGTGGCAGGCGGATGAAGAGGTCCGAGCTGGTCCTCGTCAGCAGCTGCGAGGCGGAAGGGAAGGGGGAAGGGGGAATAATGGGGAAGGGGGAATAATGGGGGAGGGGGGTGGGGGAAGGGGGAAGGGGGAAGGGGGAATGGGGGAACGGGAAGGGGAAACGGGGCGGACGGGTTAAGGGGCAAACGAGGAGGGAAGGGCCAAGGGGAAGGGGATTGGGAATAAGACGGCATGCGAATGAGGAGGAAGAGTTTGGAGCTGGTCCTGGTCAGCAGGTGAGGGGGGGGTGAGGGGGGGGTGAGGGGGGGGTGAGGGGGGGTGAGGGGGGGGGTGAGGGGGAGGGGCGATTGGGGAGCGGGGCGGGCGAAAGGGGCAACGACTGAGGGGCGGGCGAAGGAGAGGACAGCACGTGTATGAAACTTTCGGCGCTGGTGCTGGTCAGCAGGTGAGGGGGGAGGGAAGGGGGGATTGGGGTAGTGGCCAAGGCGGAGAAAAGGGGGGAGGGAGAGTACGGCCGGCCAGAAGTTGAGAAGGTTCGTTCAAGGCCAGGGACCCAAGTTTACCAACTGTAAAACATTTGGTTGGGACTAAAACTACTGATTGACCGGCGAGCTGTAGGCACCAATGAAATCGCCTGCGAGTGTTGCAATTCACGCACCCTCACGACACAAAACCTGGTTTTTCCTAACCAGCTGTAAAACACTTGCCCCAGGTTCTAGATATCCGGCAGTGACAAATCCTCCCCCACCCCCCTCCCCACCCCCCTCCCCCCCCGCCTCCCCTCTCCCCCTCTCTCCCCCCTTCCCCTTCCCCTCTCCACACACCTCCCCTCACCTCCCCCCCACCTTGCGCACCACGCGCCCCCCACACCCACTCGCTTCCTCCACTAGTACTCGTGACGCACCACGCGCGTGCCAGGTGGTGGAGTGCCGCCCAGTGAGTGCGACGGATCGATTAAAGGCGTCTCCATCTCCACCGCAACTGACGCCGCAACTGGCGCCGCGACTGACGCCGCTTTTGACGCTGCCGAATCCACGCCCGAAGGGTGCGGAGGTGTGACGGTTACTACGGAAAAGGAGGATGCTGCTGGCTTACTGGCTTCTGAGCCCCGCGCGGCGGAAGAGGCGCTGGCGGATTCCGCCATTGCTAGTATGGCGGACGGGGTGCGGGGAAGGCGCGGGAGCAGGGGAAGAATATTAATTTAATTGACAGAGCCGGCGGGACAGAACGGGTAGGGCACAAAGAAACAGACGAGGCAGAGCCGGGGGGACGCTGAAAGGAGATTGCAAGGCAGCGGATGACTGGAGTGAAACTTGGAAGAAAGAAGCTTTTCAAAGAACGGAATGCCTTGCGGTGGGTGGAAGATGCGGAATGTGGGGAAAACGGAAGTGGCGCAGAGTGGAGGGTAGGTGGGGTGGTGAGGGAATCAGCGGAGGACGGAGATTGGAAGTGGCGACAGGGTCGAAATTGACGACTGCTTTGGACCTTGGGATTTGGGATTGTTGCATTGTACGCCATACGAACAGCAACACTTCCGTTAAAGATGACGGAGGAATGTTATTCCTCGGTGTATACATCACATTTTCAATCGATGCAATTAAAAACCAATGGAACTACTTGACTTAACATGTGACGACTTTAGAGATTGATCATAGCGCAAACACGCTACACCGCCATTTGATAATGCAACACATGAATAGGTTCACATGCTATTCGTTCCCACTCCACACCATCACCCACCCAACCTAACACATTCCCCTGTCACCCTCTCACCAACGCCCCTACCATGCTCCCGGTGGCAAAAAATGACTTCATTCGAAAGCTGTGGCCATGGAAGCAAAGGTGACTTGGGGGAAAGCTTTCTGGGCTCTGTACTTAAAGCCTGTCTTGACCAGAAGTAGGTCCTCCCAAACCAAGCAGAAATGCCGACACTTCTTGCAGCAGCCATGTGTTTTCGGCTCTCGATAAATGGTGGCCAAAGTCCAGATGGTGGCCAAACATCGGATGCGGCCCGTCACCGGTTGATATTCGGCAGTAATACGTCGCGATGCACCCGCGCACCTGGCAAGGGGGAGAGACGAATTGCCATGCCTCATCTCATGGTGTCTTGAGCTGAAATCTCATCCAATGTCAACCCTATTTTGCATCATAGCCATCCACCGTAACATCCAGCCATTGTCCAACCATCCTCCAACCATCATGCTACCATCATCCTACCCTCACCCAACGGACCTTCCGGTGGCTCCATTGGCGCTTGCCTGCTGGCCGTTACTGCAGCTCGGCTGGTTCAACCTTTGCTACTGATCCCTGAGGGGGAGCTAGCCTGCGTTCTGTGCTGCGCTGACCTGCGTTCCGAGCTGCGCTGACCTGCGTTCTGTGCTGCGCTGACCTGCGTTCCGTGCTGTGCTGACCTGCGTTCTGTGCTGCGCTGACCTGCGTTCCGTGCTGTGCTGACCTGCGTTCTGTGCTGCACTGACCTGCGTTCCGTGTTGCAATGACCCGCGCTCCATGCTGCGCTGACCTGCTTGCGGAGATCAACACGGCAGATAGAGGCGGTGGGGATGGTCGCCTGTCCGCGCCGCCCGAACAGCTGCCACGTGTCCAGCAGCCGACAGCCGTCGATTTGAATCGTGCGCACCAGAAATGCCTCACGCACTTTCTGAGCAGCGAACCTGCGGCGGGTAGGTGGGGACGAGGGAGCGGGTGAATTGCAATGAAGCAAGTACCGGTCGTGCAGTGGGTAGGGAAAGTGCGAGCTATGCACGTGGGAAGCACGACTACGGACAAGCAGTCAGTTGAAATGGCAGACCTAGTTTTGAGGCGCCTCAAAACTAGTCTCCTGGCACGACTACGGACAAGCAGTCAGTTGAAATGGCAGACTAGTTTTGAGGCGCCTCAAAACTAGACTCCTAGCACGACTACGGACAAGCAGTCAGTTGAAATGGCAGACTAGTTTTGAGGCGCCTCAAAACTAGACTCCTCGCACGACTACGGACAAGCACTCAGTTGAAATGGCAGACTAGTTTTGAGGCGCCTCAAAACTAGACTCCTAGCACGACTACGGACAAGCAGTCAGTTGAAAGGGCAGACTAGTTTTGAGGCGCCTCAAAACTAGACTCCTAGCACGACTACGGACAAGCAGTCAGTTGAAATGGCAGACTAGTTTTGAGGCGCCTCAAAACTAGACTCCTAGCACGACTACGGACAAGAAGTCAGTTGAAATGGCAGACTAGTTTTGAGACGAAATGGCATGAAGGCTGCAGCAGTGGCATGAGAGAAGATAAAAACCGTTGTTCCTGGTATGTTGCGACTCAACACATGCATAGCCCCCCATGTCACGTGCATTCCCCCCCATGCCACATGCACTGCCCCCCATGTCACGTGCATTCCCCCCCATGCCACGTGCACTGCCCCCATGCCAACAGCCCCTCACCGCCCTCACAGAGCGAACAAGGTGGATAAGACGGGCGCGATAGGCGGCAAGGGTTGCCCGTCATGGTTGTGGCTGTCAGGCAGCACTGCGAGCACCGCTAGGAGCGACCAGACCTGCCAAGGAGACGTGCAAGTCATTGGAGAGCACGGAACATGACACGGATGGAACATGGCCTGCCACATGTTGTAAACCCTAAAATAAGGGATGGAACATGGTATGTCACATGTGCAAAACCCTAGTACAAGGGGATGGAACATGGTATGTCACATGTGCAAAACCCTAGTACAAGGGGATGGAACATGGTATGTCACATGTGCAAAACCCTAGTACAAGGGGATGGAACATGGTATGTCACATGTCCTAAACCCTAGTATAAGCAGATGGAAGATGGTATGTCACATGTCCTAAACCCTAGTGTAAGCGGATGGAAGATGGTATGTCACATGTGCTAAACCCTTGTATAAGCAGATGGAAGATGGTATGTCACATGTGCTAAACCCTAGTATAAGCGGATGGAAGATGGTATGTCACATGTGCTAAACCCTAGTACAAGGGGATGGAACATGGTATGTCACATGTCCTAAACCCTAGTATAAGCGGATGGAAATGGTACGCCATCACATGCCATGCTGGCCGATGCTATCACATAAGTGAGCAGCTTTTCACGCAAACCACTTCACAGCAACCCTTTCGTTTCCATGTGATACGGGATGGATGGAACATGGCACGCCAAATCGCTTGTGATACAGACGATGTCCGCAAAGTGCCCTGCCCAAAAAAAATCCCAATTGCACCCCCTCGCCCAATAGAAGAAGTTTACGGGCAGTATCCGTTTCGAGAGAGTCCCCCGCGCCGGCAACTGTGCTGAGTCATCATGACAGCAGGGATGAACATGCGGACAGCGACGAAGCAGTTGCAGCCTTCTGGTTTTCGCCACATATTTTCGGACGGCGTCGCGAGGGCGGTTCGTCCAGGCCCAAATGACCTTTCGCGTTTTTCGCGAAGCCGCGAAGGACACGAGCGCAATGGAAATCTACGGAACACCGCAAACGGGAAACGCCTCGATGACTCAGCATGGCATGACCCCTTGGCAACTGACTGAACTAGAGCCCTATTCGGTCGAAACAACTCCACACTTATCGAAGCCGCACAAATTGTGAGCAAATGTCATGTTCGTGACCTATTGGTTGTGATACGGGATGGATGGAACATGGCACGCCAAATCGCATGTGATACGGGATGGATGGAACATGGCACGCCAAATTGCATGTGATACGGGATGGATGGAACATGGCACGCCAAATCGCATGTGATACGGGATGGATGGAACATGGCACGCCAAATCGCATGTGATACGGGATGGATGGAACATGGCACGCAAAATCGCATGTGATACGGGATGGATGGAACAGGGCACGCCAAATCGCATGTGATACGGGATGGATGGAACATGGCACGCCAAATCGCATGTGATACGGGATGGATGGAACATGGCACGCCAAATCGCATGTGATACGGGATGGATGGAACAGGGCACGCCAAATCGCATGTGATACGGGATGGATGGAACATGGCACGCCAAATCGCATGTGATACGGGATGGATGGAACAGGGCACCCCAAATCGCATGTGATACGGGATGGATGGAACACGGCATGCCAAATCGCATGTGATACGGGATGGATGGAACATGGCATGCCAAATCGCATGTGATACGGGATGGATGGAACATGGCATGCCAAATCGCATGTGATGAGAAACGTTCGCCTCTATGGTTCGATGCTCATGCCCATGCAGTATCATGCACATGCCGTCGCATGCTAATTACCCATGCCCTCTCATGCTCATTTCTCATGCCCTCTCATGCACATACCGTATCATGCACATGCCATATCACGCTCATACGCATGCTGTGTCAACCAAATACCCACTGTAAGTGCCTCACACCACATACCACACCATCATACACGCCTCACTGCATCCCCCCCAAGACTCACAGCTCACCGCGAAGCTGAGCGTTGCGTTGGCCCAGTGGAGCGGCGGCAGGCGGATGACGAGGTCCGAGCTGGTCCTCGTCAGCAGCTGGAGGAAGGGAAGGGGGAAGGGGGAAGGGGGAAGGGGGAAGGGGGAATGGGGAAGGGGGGAGGGGACGGGTGGAGGGGACGGGTGGAGGGGGCAAGGAGTGAGGGAAGGGCCACGGGGAAGGGGATTGAGGATAGGACGGCAGGCGGATGAAGAGGTCGCAGCTGGTCCTCGTCAGCAGCTGAGGGGGGGGGTGGGGGGGAGGGGGGGGGAAAGGGGGGGCGGACGGGCGAAAGGGACATCGGCTGGTGGACGGGGGGAGCGGGATTGAGAATAGGGCGGCAGGCGGATGAAGAGGTCGCAGCTGGTCCTCGTCAGGAGCTGAAGTGGGGGGGAGGGGGAAGAGGGAGAGTGGGCGGAAGAGGGAAGGGGGCAGGAGGTAGAGTACGGCACGGCGGCCAGGAATTGAAAAAGGCTTGTTGAAAGCCATGGCTGATGTGGAGCAGTGGAGTGCTTTAAGGGACGGCATGTCAAACCGGCAGCGACGCATATCCTTCCCCCCCTCCCCACCCACCTCACCACCCCCCCCTGACTCGCGTCTTCCCGCAATGGCTTCTCACGTGCGTGCCATAAGTGGACAACTGGAAGTCTCCCCCTCCCCCCCCTCCCCTCCCCCCTCAGCGCCATGGGCGCACCATGCGCGTGCCAGCTGGCGGAGCGCCGCCCAGCGAGTGCGACGGCTTGATCAACGGCGCCTCCATCTTTACCGCAACTGACGCCGCAAGTGACGCCACTTTTGACGCCGCCGAATCCAGGCCCGTAGGGTGCGGGGTTGTGACGGTTACTACGTGAAAGGAGGATACTGCTGGCTTGGCTTCTGAGACCGGCGGGACGGAAGAGGCGCTGGCGGGTTCCGCCATTGCCACTGCGGCGGAAGCAGTGCGGGGAAGGCGCGCGAGGAGGGGGAATCATATGAATTTATCTGATCGAACCAGCGGGACAGAACGGGTAGGTACTAGGGGCACAGCGGAGGGTACGAGGCAGAGCCGGGGGGGACGCTGAAAGGAGACTGCACGGCACCGGATAACTGGAGAACAATATTGACGAGGGGGCAAATGTGAGTTCTGAAACGCAGTAGAAAGCGCGAACAGCGATGGAGGAATGGAAGTTGCGCGAAGAGCAGAGGGAACGAATAATCAGCGGAGAACGGAAATGCTAGCTGGCGGCCAAGTGGAGAAGGACGACTGCTTGGGACCTTGGGATTCACGATACTCGACTGGATTTCAGTTGAGGGTGATTTGCGCTGTCCGCCATACGAGCAGCATCACTTTCGTATAAGTAAAAACAGCCAAGACATCAACCATGCAATTGTCAACTTCTGAAACCTTCAACAGGATTGGCTGGCTTGCTTGAAAAGCTTATTTGTTCCTCCTTTTTGCATCCCTGTAATCTACTCCACACGTCATGATAAAAAAATACAAATAGAAGAGGGGAGGGAGTGTTCACAAGACCACCAATTGTATGGCTTGTATTGTTAGAAAGAGCTAACTGTTAAACTAAGCTAGTTAGGAGGTAAGCCATGGAATGGCGTGAGGGTTTAGCTAGGAGAAATTTACGAGAGAAAAGAGAGTGAGACTAGGAAGAGAGAGACATACAAGGAGGGAGTTGTACCCTCTACAGTAGAGTTCGATAACATACTAAACCTATACAAATATATATATATATATTATTGGAAATACCTCAAGGACTTAAGCGTTTCTGAAGTGTAACACCACACTCGAGTGAAGCCGTATCGAGTATGCGAGTCAACGGAGGTTACACGAGGAGGTTGGACGAAAGAACACGAAAGGACGAAAGACTCGAAGGATCGCAACCGGAGGTTGCGACTGACCGTTACAACTGCAAGGGTGGCAACCGAATCGACCATCGAGTCGCTGTGCGACTCGATAACCGTTCCTTCAACTGTATTCTACAACTGCTACTTTCCTATTTTCTATATATTGTTGTATGCTTGTTTCTTTTAAATCATCACTTGCTCTCACACACTAGTGCAAGGGTTCAACTACTCAACTTCCGCTGCACAACTCAAGTATCTTGTACAACTGGGACTTAATCTCTGAAAGATCCTAAGGGCTCTTCTCAGCCCAACATGGTATGAGAGCTGGTCAGAAACCAAACTCCCAGCAACAACGCTCTATCTACAGTCAACACTTCAACAAGCTTCATCGATTATAAGCCATGGACAACAAGGGCAAGAAGATCTCTACGGGCTCACCCAGCGCCCAAGACACCCAACCCGACAACTTTGGACTACACACTTCAGGACTGCAAACCGAGACCGGCGCTGCTCAAGAAACAACAGGAAGGGCACCAGAAATGGTGACTCCATCACCCTCTTCAAGCGTGGACCCGAACCTTATGGAAAGATTCTTCAGCTTCATGTCACACTTCAACTAGCAGCAGCAGACAAGGACACCAGCGCATTCAACACAGAGCAACGGAGGAAACATGGGATTAGCGCCAATGAGTCACGACAACTCATCGTTCGGACGACACAATCAGGCGCCTACCTTTGCACCTTATCACTCTTCACCGGGGACGTTCGAGTTCATGCCGCCCCGTGCCCAACCAACAGCAGCTGCATCACAACAGACACCAAACGAGATATTAAGCCTCCAGGCGCAGTTTTCACACGTGATCAAACTGCAGACATCCTCACCGTTCAACGGACACGACTTTTTTACCTGGAGCTTCGAGTTCGAGCTGCTGATGGAGGCCGCACATCTCTTGGGATACTTCAACGGGTCCCTGCCATTTCCAAGCAATGGCACTGCAAAGGAGCAGGAAATCTTCACTTATCAGTCGCTGCTGGCCTACACAGTTCTCCTGCGGAACCTGTCACCACAAGAACAACAAAGCATCAGAACGTATCGGAGCTACGGAAACTCCGCGGAGCTCGCATGGCATCACCTCAAATGTCTCTACCAAGCAAATGAGAGCGTGACACAAAGCAGACTCATGCAGCACTTGACAACAATACAAATGAAAAACGGGGAAAAGGCGATGCAGTATATGAGTCGCCGCCAGACACTCCGTGACCGCCTGCTTCGGTGCGGAGGTACAATCATTGAAGAAAGCTTTGTGACACTTGTCCTCGCTGGGCTCGGGCCAGAAAGGAGAACCACCCGCTCGCTTCTTCGCGCCCACGGACGAATTTCGGAGATGCACCTCTGCGCCGAGCTTCATGCTGAACAACAAGAGATGGACCTGTTTGAAGAAAGACAACCAAGAAACAAGCAGCAACCGTTAGTCTTCTATACTCAACGAAGAAACGACAACTACAATCGACGTGACAAGCAGAATCGACACGACACCAAAGGACTCACCGTCGTACCGCCGTTCTGCCACAATTGCCAGACATCCGGACACTCCAAGGTTAACTGCACACGCCCCCGAGTTCATCGTCCGGTAGACCCACAAGTCGCTTCCACTCAAGAAAGTCCGCCAAGGCGTTTCTCCACATCTGCACAAGGCACACCGAATATCATCAATTGTATGGTACGCATCAACAACTGCGCACCCGGATCACCACCCACTTACGCTCCAGACGAAGAAGAACTGCCGCCACCGCAAACACAAGGCCTTCAGGTCAACCCAACGTACGCTGCAGTCGCCAACGCCGAACCCACCGGGTGAAACACCTGGTTCTTGGACAGCTGTTGCGGCCAACACATGTGTTCTTCCGGACGCTTCGTGCAACGAGAGCGACGCCTCAACCGCGATGTCATCATCACCGTTGCCAACAACGAGAACCTGAAAACACACAGACAAGGAGTGGTTCAGTTGCAGTCCATGGAGACAAACGTCATCCTGCAACTCAACAAGGTTCTAATCGTCGACAACTTGGGATACAATCTACTAAGCGTCAGCCAACTAATGGAAAAGGGGATTCACCTGGAATGCGACTTTGACGCCAACGAATTTCGTCTTTACCACAGGAAGGCCGGCCTCTTCATCGGTCGCGCTCTCCTGAAGTCAGGTGTCTTCGTGTTGGATTTCGTCCCCGACCGCGGTACTGCCGACAGCGATGGCATCGTGTCGTTCGCCGCCTGGACACACCCGCCGGATCTTGACCCCGACTTCACCCCAGATGGATTCTGGTACTCCAACACCATACCTGCAGCAGAGAGAACGCGAGCGTTAGCAATCATTCGACAAGAAAGACAAGTACCAGCAAGTGTCCCTTCCCCGACATCACCTGCAGTATCAGCAGCAGGACCCAGCCGAGTACCATCACTAGCAATCCGAGGACCGCCAACCAAAGCAGGTCAACTTATGCCCATCACACGAGAAGTCTGCCGAAGTCGCGCCACGGTCGTCGCGTTCTTCTCCAACGCCGACATGTACCAACGCTCGCCCGGCCATCGCGCTCCCGACGATATCTGGCATCAACGCCTCGGGCATCCTGCAAACAGCACAACACTACAAACCATCCAAGCCGAAGTGTTAGAAAGAAACGCTCTTCTTACAACGAGCGGCCAAGAACTTCGACGACCACGCGCATGATGTTTCACGTGCCCCGAAGGCGATCTTCCTCACCAACCTTTTACGTCCCACCACAACCCAAGCGCACCTGCATACGAACCAATGGAAAAGGTCTATAGCGACATCTTAAATATGCATCGGGACGACAGTGAAGCAGAATACAACTACGATATAACGTTCATCGACGCAGCAACACGATACGTCTGGCACTACAACCTCAAGACACGAGATCAAGCGTTCGAAGCCTTCACGGCATGGCTGCCCATCGCTGAACGAGAATCGGGCTCGAAACTCAAGAGCTTCCAGTCAGACGGGGCACTGGAATACCAGTCACAACGATTCAGGAACTACTTGGGAGAAAGAGGCATCAGACGCTTGGTGTCCCTGCGCTACGCTCACCAACAGCAGGGGGTCGTAGAGAGGATGAACCGGACCTTGCACGCGACGATGCGAAAGCTGCTCCTGGGGATGAGACTGCCCAACACACTGTGGCTAGACGCAATGACGCATGCAGTCCACCTGCACAATTTGCTGTCCTCGTCATCATTTCCCAACAACGCATCACCGCACCTGCTGTGGACACGAAAAAGGGGCAGCACAAAATTACTTCGAGTTTTCGGCTGCATGGTACAGTACAGACCTCACACAGCTCGAGCAGGACGCTTCACTCAACGAGCACGGTGGGGACTACACCTCGGCATCGCAAAACATTTCCAAGCATGGAAACTCCTCGACATACAAGACAAAAATACAGTGGCATCACGTGATGTGATCTTCTACGAGCGACTGACGCTGCAGCATTACCTGGACAACGTCGCCAACACAGACGACCCCACCGACGGCTTTGCGGGCCTTCGCTCCTTCGCCGATCGTACTGCCGAAGCTGACGCAGCAGAAGAAGACATACCTGAAGCCTCGGAAACTGCCGGACCACTCCCTTACTGCTCCGTGCCTGTTCCCCTCAATGACGACAATCCTCTCGATAGTAACAACCTCGACACCTATTATCACTTCGCTGACCAAGGTTACGTTACACCTCAACCAGCCGACACGAATGTCTCAGAATGCATCTAACCAAATTTCTTACCTGATCCCGAAGATGGCGACGAAGCAGCTTATATCTGGAATGAAAATTCCCCTCGACACTCACCCACAAGCCTGCAGATACTTGGATTATGGGTCTCCGTCCAGCACCCGCCGCCGCCATCTCCGCTCGAGCCAACGACTCTGTCGCAGGCTCTGGGGGGGGGAACATAAGGTGAAATGGAAGGAGGCGATGGAAAAAGAACTGAAAGCTCTACAAGACCGAAACACGTGGAAGCTGGTACCTGCAACAAACATCAATGGGAAGAACGTACTCTCGGGGAAATGGGTGTACTGCATCAAGACCAATGCTGATGGCTCCATCGACCGCTTCAAAGCTCGCTGGGTCGTACGAGGATTCGACCAGCGATATGGAACCGACTACACGGAGACATTCGCCCCAGTCTCCCGACACACCTCCCTACGCATCTTGCTCGCCGTCGCGGCCACGAAAAAATTACCACTACGCCAAATCGATGTCGCCAACGCCTTCCTATACGCACCTGTGGACGCCGAAACCTTCGTCGAGCAGCCCCACGGATTCATCGACGATCCCACAAAAATATGCCAGCTGGTAAAATCCCTCTACGGAATCAAACAAGCCCCACGGCTCTGGC